TACTAAAGAACCAGAGAGGCAAACGGCCGCTCCGGGTCAGAGCCCCAGACATCCCGCAGAAATGATGAGCTGCATGCCACTCTAGGGGGTGCCTCTACAACAAGCCCACCCGTTGCTTCCCTCCTCCCCCACCCCTCCCGGGCTACCTTGGCAGTTATCCCCCCTTTTGTGTGATGAAGTAATAAAGAATGCATGAATTTGAAACAACACTGACTTTATTGCCTCTGCAAGCAGAGATTAAAGGGGGGAGGGGAGGGCGGTTGGCTTACAGCAAAGTCGAGTGAACCACCATTCTGCACTTGCTCAGCCTATAGCTGAAAATGGGAATCTGTGATAAGCACTAGGATAGAAGCACAGGCAGGACTGAACCTCCATTTGTGTGTGGGCCTTTGGTTGACACTGGTAAAATACAAAATGTCCCAGGATATGTATGTTGGGGGACAGTTCTAAATAGCAGCTTTATTTTTTTATTTGCAGCAAAAAATATCTGATTGTGAGCCCTGCGAGCAAGGGGTAGGCTGGGGTAGGTGCGACCGTGCAGTGCTGCTGACTGGGAGAGCAGCCTGAGGCAGAAGCCTCCAGCTGGCATGATATTCCAGGCAGGACTGAATCCCCATTACACAAAACTTAAAGAAGAGAATGACCTGGAGTCATTCCCTTTTTTGTCCATGCACCCTGACCAACCTCACCAAGGCCAGCCAGGAGCACCCACGAGACGATGATGACGGTTATCAGTCATACTGCACTGTCTGCTGTCCGCAAGGCAAGGCAAGGGGATGCTACAGCACTGTGCCTGCCAGCAGCATCCAGTAGACATACGGTGACAGTGAAAAAAGGCGAGAAATGATTTTTTTCCTTTTGCTTTCACAGGGTGGGGGCGGGGGGCTGACAACATATACCCTGAATCACCCACGACAATGTTTTTGACCCTTCAGGCATTGGGAGCTCAACCCAGAGTTCAAATGGTTTTCGGAAAGTGCGGGAACTGTGGGATAGCTACAGTCGTCAGTCGCCCCTCCCTTTGTGAGCGTCCATTTGATTCTTTGGCTTTCTGGTATGCTTGTCTCAGCTCCTTAAGTTTCACGCAGCACTGTGTTGAATCCCTGTTGTGGTCTCTGTCCATCATGGCCTTGGAGATTTTTTCAAATGTTTTGGCATTTCGTCTTTTGGAACGGAGTTCTGATAGAACAGATTCATCTCCTCATACAGAGATCAGATTCAGTATTTCCCGTTCGGTTCTGGAGCTCTTTTTTGATTCCAGGACTGCATGGTCACCTGTGCTGATCAGCGCTCCATGCTGGGCAAACAGGAAATGAAATTCAAAAGTTCACGGGGCTTTTCCTGTCTACCTGGCCAGTGCATCCGAGTTCAGATTGCTGTCCAAAGAAGTCACAATGGTGCACTGTGGGATAGTTCCCGGAGGCCAATACCGTCGAATTGCGGCCACACTAACCCTAATTCGAAATGGCAATGTCGATTTCAGCGCTACTCCCCTCATCGGGGAGGAGTACAGAAATCAATTTTAAGAACCCTTTATGTCGAAGTAAATGA